TAATAGCCGATAACAAGACCTTGTCTGATCAGAATAAAAAATTATCTGAAGAAAACAAGAAACTTCAAGATGATAATGATAAACTCACCCACAAAAACCTAAACTACGAGGATACTTTAAAGAAAGTAAACACCGCTGCTAATTTAACCCTAGATTATTTTGGCGAGAAATACAATAAAGATGATCCGATTGAAAAGAAAATGGAAAAATTGTTAGCGGAGCAGAAATAATAATGCAAGTAAAACCTGTAGAGGTTAGGAAAAAAAATAATTTTATTAAAAAAATGCAATTTTAATTAAAAAATATAATTTTTTATTTAAAAAAATGTAATTTTATTAAAAAATATATATAATTTTTATTAAAAATGTTAAAAAATATATTTTAAATTGTAATGTTTGTTAAATCAAAATATTGATCAAATTGCGTCTCATTGTATCGTGTGTAATTGAAAAGATAAGCCCTATAGAAAAAATAATACTTTCTCAATATAAAATCAAGATCAATTTCATGATAGTAAAACGTCCCGAAAACCATAAAATATTCCTAATGAGCTTTAAAATATAATAATGGTAATATAATGAAATGTTTTCTGTTTTATAATTCTCTAATTGCTCGTTAAATTCTCTCAAATTCTCATTCTCCTTTAATATTTCTTCAACATACTCAGTTATTTTTTGGATCAAATCGGTATTCGCCATCCCAACACGTGTACTTGCAATCAAGCTTGTTATAATAAAAAAAAAGTTCCACAGAAAAAAAAACCAGAAACGTGGCGATCATATAATAAAATATCACAATAAGAATTTGCTTGAATGCTTGCAATAACAGATAAAAATACGGATGTTTCCAAGTCAATATCTCTAATACTTGATTTTGATAATTTTGCAATTGTTCGTTTCTCTTTCTCAATAACTCGTTCTCCTCTCGTAAATTCTTAAGTTCATTTGTGACAAGTTAAATATTGGCCATTATATAATGAAATCTAACTCGTCAAAAATATTGTTCACTTTATATTCCAATCTTTCATCGTCCACTCGTTCAACCAATATCCGGTAGATCACGTACACAAATTGATGCTTGTTCAAAGGATCTGGTGACATTTTATACTTGAAATCTCCTTCTGGAGAAAATCTGAAAAATGCCCCAACACCACGAAGATCAGGTTGTTTAGAAAATTGCTCAAGTATCATTTTTTTTATCTTGCTTAACTCCTCTTCACTCACTTCAACCACCTCTTTATAGCATGATATAACAGAGTCTATTGCTCCCAATGGTCCTACTGAATTATTCATCGTACCAATCACTCCTCGTTTAAACTGTTTGATCAATTTCTTGAATTCATCATCGTTAACCTTGAGCGGTTTACGTTTCTTATCAAGCTTTTCATCAATTTTTCTCAGCAATTCCTCATCATTCTTAACAAGTTCACGAACCGATCTAAGGATCTCGATCGTTATCTTGTCCCAAAAAAGCCACGTAATTTTGTATACATCCTGTTTTTTGTCTTTAATATCCTCTTAATCAATTGATCAACATCTTCAAACGTTACTTTCGATGTATCGAGAAAGACAGAAATATACTTCTGATCACCTGGATCAACGAAATAATGATCACGTTCTTCATCCTTGTACATGTTACTAATGGACCTCCTAATCTTTTGATACTCTATTTTTTGAGCATCTGACAATTTAGTGGATGAATTTATCATTCGATCCAACAGATTATCATCATCCAACGAGCCGTTAAACTTGCCTTGAGGAAACTCCCTAAGATATCCGAGGAGTAACTTTTTAATGTTATTGTTATCCAACTTATCAGGTTTTTCATCTAATGTTTCGTTCTTTTTATCTAATTTATCGTCTGGTTTATCCAATTTATCATCTGATTTATTGTTTGATTTATCTTTTTTATTCAATTTATTATCCTTTGGCGGTGAACTTGACAAGAAATTTAACCGATCACGGCATTCTTTCTGTAACTGTTCCTTGGTTCTCGAAAAATCCAAATATTGTTGATCGATCCCCTGTATCTCTTGATCATACTTTCCTCCATCAATAAGTTCTGTCGCATCATTTTCCTCTCTAATCAAATCGCTCAATAAAACGTACAATAAATTATTATACTTGTTTTTTCTCAAATTGATCAATCTTTGTTTGCTTCTCTGATCACCCAATAACGTCGCGTTTAACGACAATATATCATTCACAAGTTTACTCGTATCATCCAGATCATTGATATCAAATTGTCTATAATACTGATTTATCAACCTTTGATAATTGTCC